GGCAAATGTCTCCTCAAAATCAATCCCTTCAATCTAATTATACCCCTTAGAAACTAATCTAGCCTTATTTCTAATGACAACTCCTGAGTCATTCATTTTATTTTGAATATCCACTTAGTTCCAACTACACTTTGATCCTTTGGCCTTATAGTTAATTCCCAAACTTTATTTCTTACAAATTGATTTAACTCTTCTTGCATAGCCAAAATCCAAAATTCATCTGAAAGTGCTTGATCAATATTTGTGGGTTCTATTATTGAAATGAAGGCTGAATGATTGACTTCTTTGTTTAGTCCATGCCTAGTCCTTACACCCTCAATAGGTTCACCTATAATCAAATCCTTTGGGTGGTTTTTAGAAAATCTCAAATCTCTAGGCAAAGGGTTTTCTATCTCCAAATTTTTTTCCAAATTTTCTTCCAAATTTATTTTATCAATCTTTTGGGAGTTAATCTCAATCTCATCTTCTACAATATTTTGCTCTTCCAAAAATCCAGATTAATCAAATACAACATGTGTGGTCTCCTCAATTATCAAAGTTCTTTTATTGAATACTCTATAAGATTTTCCAACACTTGAGTGTCCTATAAAAATTTCTTCATCTGATTTTGGATCAAATTTTCCTGAGGCAGAATTTTCATTGTTATGAATAAATACCCTGCATCCAAAAACTTGCAAATGTGAAAAATGAGGTATTCTTCCTTTTAGCAACTTATATGGTATTGTATTTAATTTTGATCTTATATTCACCCTATTCAGAATATAACATACATTGCTAACCGCCTCAGCCCAAAAATATTTAAGAAGTGAGTATTCTGCTAACATGGCTCGAGCAGCTTCTATTAATGTTCTATTTTTCCTTTCGACTGCCCCATTCTGCTTAGGGGTTCTAAAGGCAGAAAATTTATGATCAATTCCTTTTTCCTTACAAAATCCTCAAAATTTTCCTATAAATAATCATAATTTCTCATCCTAGCTTTCTTTGAATCCAAGTCAAAAAGTTTCTAAATTCCTCAAATGATTCACTGTTATGAAAATAGAAATCTAAAAGTCTCCAGTGAAGGATGCTATTTCCTATTGGAATAACATATGAGTGAATTTTAAACTAGAGAGAGAAGCTCCCATTTTTGCTAGAGAGAGAAAATCTTATTTTTTTCAAATTTTCTGTTCGTGGGCTTTGCACGGGTGGTCGATCTTGCTGCCGGCTGATCGCCGGTAGGATGATCGGTGATTTTTGTTGTTTGGATCATGTCGAACTCCCGTTCTTCTGGAATCCTTCGTGGTAATGGTAAAGCTAGCGATGGAATTGTTATCAGGGAGGGTTTTTTTTTTTTGATAGAAACCCACTATTGGGGCTTACGCGTTTATCCAAAAAGCATTTACAACATGTCCTTAAAGAGACTAAAGGATCCTTCCAACATATTTATTCTTCCAAAGCCCTTCACAAAACTGCACCCAAATTCCCTTCCATATAGCATATCTTCTCAACTTTCAATTCTACCTGTAAAACAAAAAATAACTCTACAGGCACTAAAATTATTAGTACAAATCAGCTAAAGAAATACCCCTAACTTAAAAGGTAAGCTTATAATTGAAAAAAAAAAACCCCTAAAATACCAGCAGTTCAGACCCCAGAACTGAGCACCGAAGAGGTTCCAGATCCAATTACAGCTAAACACCAACTCATTTTCTCAAATAAGGTAAACCACATTTGTCTAATCTGATCAAACCTCTAAGTAAAATAGGAATATTAGAATTATCAAAGCAAGTTAAAGAAGTTAAACCTGTACCCAAACGATCCAAAAAATTAGCACAAGTATTACCTTCTCTCCAAATATGAGAAACCTCTGATTCGCCAAGAAGTGATTGAAGGTAAAGGCAAAAAGATTGTTGTTGATCGGAGTTCTTATGATTTCAATGAATCTGTGAGTACGGAGAAGATTCATGATCACATTCCTGATGCGTCTGCTTCTACTGGCGCGATTTTAAAAGTTAATAAGTTTGCTGTAAACCATGGAGAAATCATGGGCCGCGCTTTGGCGTCTGAGATTGATAATGCTGATAAGGAGGTGGTTGATGAAATTCCCCTGAAGAACTTAGTTTTGGATAAGAATCAAGATTCTTATTTTTCGCGAGTCTCTGATTTGAGCAATCCGAAGGATAATTTTCAGGAAGATTGGAAAAAAATGCAACATATCAAGATCTCTGCTGATAAGCTGATCACGGAAATGTCAGATGATAGGATAGCAATCAAGCTTAATGCTAAGAAAGAAGCTTTGAATTTGGAAATTCTGAGACATTTGCTGGTTGTTAAGGTGTTGGGTGACAGAGTTTCCTTTCCATTGTGTAGCCAGGAATTGAGGAAGCAGTGGAACAAGTTTGGGAGTTTTCATATGACCTTCATTGGGTTGAATTGGATTTTATGCTCTTTCAAGTCAGCAGAAGCGGTGGAGGAAGTTCTTAGCGGTGGCCCTTAGTTCGTGAGAGGCTACGTTGTGGGGATGGACAAGTGGTCTCCTCTCTTTAATCCTAATTCCTTCAAAGGAATTACGGCTCCGGTATGGATTCATTTCCTTTGCTTACCACTCCATTGCTGGGATGAGGAGAACATTATTAAGATTGCTTCAAGAATTGGTGCCCCTATGTTGTTGGATGGTAATTCCTTTAAATGGGGGAAACGTGAATTTGCTCGGGTATGTTTTAGATTGAATTTGGAGAACAGCCTCCCTAATGGGGTTTGGGTAGATGGAATTGCTGGTTGTTTCTTTCAAAAGATAGAATACAAGAAGATTGACTTGATTTGCTATCAGTGTGGTAAGGTTGGGCATGATAGCAAGGTTTGTCCTGATAATGTGAAAATGAAAGTTGGTGAGTAGCAGGAAGTAAGGCTGATGCTATAAAGAATGTGGAGGATTTGATGGAAGTCCAAGGTGCTGAAGGTTAATATGGGCCGTAGATTTACATGAAGTTTAAAAATAGGAGATTTAGGAATGGAAAAGTGATAATGGCTGGAAGGTCTGGTAGAAAATCTGTTGGAATTGAAGCTATGGCTCGGATTCCTCAGCCTGATATAGGATAAAATAAGAATCTCATCATTGAAAGGTGAGGAAACCAAAACAGTAGATTGATAAGGTGGATGTGGACATTATCAAAAATGATAGTAACAAAGAAGGTGATAAGGAGTGTGCAATGGGGGTTTCTGTTACTAACAAATTTGACGTTTTGCTTGAAGAAGTTGAAGAAGGGGAAGTGACAGACCTTCCTTGTGTGGATCAACAGTAGGCGGCTATTGTTGTTGAATTGCCTGAGAAAATTGAGGCTGCTGTTTCTCAGAGTAATAGCTTGGTGAAGATTAAGTTGGATAAGGAGCTGAAGTCGTTGGGCCCTTTAGAACCAGATCATAGGAAAAAGAGGAAGGAGGCTAAGGGAAGTTTGCCAGGTGGGGATGGCTCCCCATTGGTTAATAAATGAATTCGTTGGTTTTTTGGAATTGTAAGGGGACCAGGAAAAAGGAGACTTCCTTGTATCTCAAGGAGATTGTTAGGGATCATGATGTTTTCTTTGTAGGGTTAATGGAAACCAAATTATCAAGTATTAGTAGAAGTGAAGTTGATTTCTTTATTGGGAAGGATTGGGATTACTTCCACTTTCCAGCTGTGGGTACTGCTGGTGGCATTATGGTTTTGTGGAATGAAGACTGTCTCCTTTGTTATAGAGAGAAGCTCTTCTCAGATGGTGTTAGGTTCTCTTCATACACCTTATTTGGGTGTGTGCAAGGTGCCTACGGTCTATGGCAGCAGATGCCTTAATGAGGGAAGTTATTTATGGAATTTACTGGAGACCTATTTGAAGGAGTCGAGTCCTGCCATTATGGGGGGTGGGGTGGGGGGGGGGACTTCAATTGTATCTTAAATAAGGAAGAGAAGAAGGGTGGCAAGCGGTTCTTATTCTCTAGAGGACCTAGAGCGATGAAAGAATTTATGACTAATGCTGATTATCATGTTGCAGGTTTTGTTGGACCAAGATTTACTTGGTGTAACAACAATCTTCTAGGATTTGGGAGAGGCTTGATAAATGCTTGCTCAATTTCTCTGCTTTACATTTGGTGCCATTTGGGAAAGTTAAGCACCTTGCTCGGATGGCCTCTGATCACAGCCCAATTGTTTTCAATTTTGATGGAAGAGGTTAGCAGGAGCAAGGCTATCAGATTTGAAGATACTTGGAGGTCTTACCCAGCTGCATGGAGCATTGTCCAACATTCATGGAAAAAGAATGATTTTGGTGAGGAGGAGGAGGTGCTTCATAGGAAGCTTAAGAGGACTTTGAGAGCTCTTTTTTTTGGAATAGGAGTAAATGTCGGGATCTGTATAAGCTGAAAGAGCTGTTAAAGAATGAGATACTGGAATTGCAAATTAGGGAGGCTGCGGGTGATGATTTTTCTTATGATGATTTACTTATGCTTAGAAAGAAGATTCATGAGCTGAATGTAACTTTGAGAAGGCTTTCTATGTGGTGGAACCAAAGAGCTACAACTAGATGGTATGAGGAAGGATATACAAATTCAAAATTTTTCCATAATTTTGCTTCAGCTCGTAGGAATGCAAAGTGGATTAAACAAGTTAAGGATGTAAACAACAATGTGGTGGAGGAGGAGGATCAGATAGAGCAAGTTTTCTTACATTTCTTTGAGAAAAAATGGGAATTCAAAAATTGTGAATTAATTGGTTGGCCGGATCCAGTTGATAGTCTGAAGCTGGATGCATTTGGTGCTACTGTATTGAATGCAGATTTCACTTTGGAGGAATGCAGAATTGTTGTTTCTCAGCAGGGGAATAACAAGTCACCGGGTCTTGATGGGTGACTTCCTCCTTTTTCAAATGTTATTGGAACTTAGTGAGTAAGACTACCTAGAATGTAATCAAGAAGTTTTTAAATTGAGTGATGCATAAGGAATGGAAAGACACAATTATTGTCTTAATTCCTAAAATCATAAACCCGGTAATGCCATCTAACTACAAGCCTATCAGCCTTTGTCAAAGCACATATAAGATTGTGGTTACAATGTTGGTTAATAGGCTGAAGATGTGTTTGCCTAGGATGATTTTTGTGGAGCAGGTAGCCTTCATCCAAGGTAGATCAATATCTGAGTATTGTTTGTTGGCTCAAGAGATTTTTAATAAATTCAAAGTGTCTAAGAATAAGCAAGGTTTGATGGCTGTGAAACTGGACATGGAGCAGGCCTATGCCAGCATGGGTTGGCCAACACTGAACAAGATTCTCTATTGGTATGGTTTCCCTTCTGTATTTTCTAAGTTTATTATGGAATGTGTGGTTAATGCTAGATTTTCAATCAGTATGAATGCAAAGTATACTAAGTGGATTGATGCTCACTGCGAATTTAGGCAAGGCTGCCCTCTATCACCATACTTATTCATTTTATGCTCTCGGTTGTTGTCTAGTGTTATTGAGCAAAGGGGTCATTAATTGGGCATTCAAGTGTCTTCTAGAGGTCCAAGGATCTCTCATCTTTTATATGCAGATGATGTACTCCTTTTTTCCAAGGCTTCTGCTCCCTTGGCATGGCTGATTAATGGCATTGTGAAGCTCTTTTGTAATTGGATGGGGCAAAGAGTCAATGTTAACAAGTCTCAAGTAATCTTTGGTAAGTTTGTAAAGAGATCTTGTTGGAGGAAGGTGGCTCATATCCTTGGATTCAAGGTGGTTAAGAAGTTGTATTATTTGGGGGTTAAGATCTCCTTGAAGAAGTTAGGTGTTGCTGATTTTTAAGATCTATTAAGTAATGTTACTGATAGGCTAAATGTTTGGGGGAGAAAATCTCTTTCTCTGGGAGGTAAAATCACGCTTATCAAATCCTCTTTGCTTTCACTCCCGAACTATACTATTAGTCACTCCTTGGATCCTAAGAAGGTGATGCTGGAGGTAGAAAAATCTTGCAGAAAATTTTTATGGCACAAACAAAATGGGAAGCAAGGTTTACATTATGTATCTTGGGAGGATATTTGTAACCCAAGGATTGTTGGTGGCCTGGGAGTGCAGTCTTTCTCCACCAAATCAGGTACTCTTCGAGCAAGATTAGCCTGTAACTTTATCCAAAAACCAGAGACTTTGTTTCATCGTACTATTAAGGCTAAATTTGGTGATAATGTGCTTAATGATAGTGGTTTGAAGTGTTCTTCTAATGTTTAGAAAATTTTAAAGGAGGGAGGTAAATACTTGAAGCCTATTGTGAGGTGGAGAGTGGGAAAAGGAGACAAAATTCTGGTTCTAAGTGATACCTGGCTGTTGGGAGGTGCAGGTTGATGCTCAGCGGGTTGATCAGCTGGAGTTGGATTATAAGTTCTCAGGTAAATCCATTTCTGCATTGGCTTATGATGATTTCATGAGAAGAATGTTGAGATTTGTTCACTATGAATTAGGTTGTTAAACCTACGCTTATGTCCCAAGGCTATACAAGGGGGGGGGGGTGAATTGTTATTTTTTTTTAAAAAAAATTATCCCTCTTGAGTATGTTGAACTGAAATTAAACTTTAATGAATTTTTAGAAAAAGTTTTACAACCACAATTTTTATAACAAAACAAAATGCGGAAAATAAAAAGCAGAAAAATAAAAGACACAAAATTTATAGTGGTTCGGTCTAAACCAGATCTATATCCACTCCCCGGAGGCACCCTCCGAGTATTGCACTAATACAAATAGTGACTCTCCTTTTACACCAACAGCAAGGCGGATAAGCCTTTACAAACACTCATTCCACCACTACCCGGTGCGGCAGAGAACCGTCATCCTTTTACACTATCCCCAGTGTTGGCAGAGAATCCTTCATCCTTTCACATTCTCCTAGTGTGGGCAGAGAACCCTTCATCCTTTCACACTCTCCTAGTGTGGACAGAGAACCCTTCGTCCTTTCACACTCTCCTAGTGTGGGCAGAGAACCATTCGTCTGTTTACACTCTCCAAGTGTCGGCAGAGAATCAGATCTCCTTGATAGATCTCCTCACAAGAAATCTAGAAGGAAGAAAGAAAAGAGTGAAGTAATCCAAAAACACAAGTAGAGATTCTTACCTTTGAACACCAAGTGAAGCCTGCACGCTCCAATGGTAGGAATCCTCCTTCGAATGCTCTCTCTCACTCTCTCCTTGAGTCTTCTTTCAATAGGCACGAAGATCAATGACCAAAAAGATTGGGTGGCAGTAAAAATTTGACCTTATATAGGAGAGACAAGAAAAACCATCCAAAACTGCAAACTTTTCAAGTTAACACGAAATGGATCGTCCCGTACGATCGTGGATCATCCCGGATGATTTTACTTAAAGTGTCAGAAACGATACTAATGAATATTGGTATGAATTGTGTTCGTACACGATTATCGTCCCGTACGAACTAGGTTCGTCTGGACGATCAGTTATTCCATAGGTCGGTTCCCAAAAAGTGCAGAACGCCGCCAGAATGTGAAGTGTTGATTCACTTCATCCCGGAATGATCAGGACTTCGTATGGATGAAATTTTTACAGAGAAAAATTCATCCTGGGACGATTTGGATTTCGTTTGGATGAAATTTTTATAGAGAAGAATCCATCCTGGGACGATTTGGATTTTGTCTGGACTATCAGGACTTAGAAAAATTTTCTCAATTCCTGATCTTTCCATTGCTCTTACGAGGAAATAACTGACCTGATCGTTCTGTATGAACTAGATTCGTCCCGTACGATCAGTACAAATTTTGTAAGATCTCCTTAAGTGTGTGTGTGTTTTTATTCACTCAATTACAATCATTCCCTCTCAATTCAAAGAACAATTTAGAGCTCCAATTTGCAAAGTATTGTATGCTGAATTTGATTCGAAGTCTTCATAGTTTGGAGTTCAATTTTCCCTGAAATGTTAGTACACACAAGAGCAAAAAATAATTCTTCCAAAAAGTGTTAGGAAATAATTGCACATAAAAAAATAATATTTGAAATCATCAAAACTATACAAGTTGCAAGAATATAACATAAGCAAGTAGCAACTTTCTTAATAAAGAAGAGGTATTTGTGATAATGATGGTTTTTATAATTGGCTTAAGAGCTTAAAGCTTAACTACAATGTGGAAATTTTTTGGTGGAGGCTTAGTAAATTTGCCATTCCTACAAATCATTTCCTTAAGTTTCAAACACTCACAACTGAGGATCTTTGCACCAGAGGGTGCCAGGATATGGAAAACTATGAGCATATTATTGTTCACTGCAAATTCTTACAGGATGTGCTTAATTGTATTCATGCTTGGGGGTTATGTATTCCAATTTTTCAATCTTTGGAGGGCTATCTTCGGGAGCTGAGAAGGGGATCTCGACAGAATTCTGGGTTTGCTAGAATTTATTGTGTAGCCGTGTTTTTAAACTAGAAAAACTGTAACCTTGTTAAGTATGGTAAGGCAGCTTTGCCCTGTTCTGTAGTGGCTACGAATGTGCTTTCTCTTGCTATTTTAAAGTATTCTCCAAATCTAGTTAGCTGGGGTGCTAATCTCCCTAGGGAGTTCTTTCTTTCTTGGATCCCTCCACCACTAGATTGGATCAAGATCAATGTGGATGCTTCTATGTTAAGCTCAAATAGGTGGTATTGGAGGAATTTTTAGAGACCACAATGGGAGACTTCTTCTTGCATTTGGAAGGAAAAAGATCCATTAGGATGTTGCTCAACTAGAGATGGAGGTTATTATGGATATTAGAGACTTTATACAAAGTTTGATGCTTGAAAGTAAGGGCATTATCATTGAAAGTGAAAATGTCAATGTGATTACATTCTTACAAGATTCTTTGAAGAAGGTTGATTGGCAATTAGACAGTTGACCAGCCAATGAGCTTCACTTCTTGAGTGACTTTAATAAGATCATTTTTCATCATGTTAATAGAGAATGTAATAAAGTAGCTGATTTTTGTGCTACTTTAGCTTTAGATGACAGCTTTATTTTTGATAGCTTTTCCTATGGTAGCATTCCTATCACCTTGATTGATTTAATCAAGGCTAAGATGTTACCAATTTAGTTTATATCTAGGCTTGTTTCTTTCCCTATTAATGCTTTTGCACGACTTCAAAAAAAAAAAAAAGAAATAGAAATCTAACCCATGTGAATCTAGAGTAATCATCCACAATCATCCCTCCTAGACTTATAGTTCCAATAGGTCCAAAAATATCCATATGCAAAATTTCTAATGGTTTACTAGTTCTAAGATCCTTATTGGACTTAAAAGAGAACTTCACCTATTTTCCTAATTGACATGCATCGCATAGGTGGTCCTTAGTCAAGTCTAGTTTTGGTATACCTCTCACTAGGTTCTTTTGGGTAATCCTCCTAAGGTTTTTCATGCTAGAGTGACAAAGTCTCCTATACCAAAGCCATGACTCATCAGAAATAATTTTTAAACAAAAGTAGAAGAAGTTTTAATGCAATTAAAGTCTAGCATATACACGTTGTTTACCCTTATACCATTCAAAACATCATTTCCATTTAGGCTTAATATGCAGCTAGTAGGAAAAAATTTCACACAATATCCTTTATCACATAGCTAGCTTATACTTAACAAGTTATGCTTTAAGCCTTCTACCAATAACACATTTTCAATGAAAAAATTCTTAAGATTTCCAATCATACCTGACCAAACCAACTTCCTTGTGGTGTTATCTCCAAGTGTAACCTTGCCTCTACTCTTAGCATCCAGCGATATGGATTGTGTAGTATCTCCAGTCATATGCTTTGAGCATCCGCTGTCCAGGTACCATATGCTCTCACGAGGTCTTGTGTGAGAGCAATCCTGCAAAATTATCAAACATTAGACTTGAGAACCCAAACAAGCCTTTTGGCAATTTATAAATAGATGCATGTATGATATGTCTAGGTTTATGCATCTTAGGTTTCCACACCAAATAAGTTTTCTTGTTCAAAGTATAGGTGTGAGCTATATGTCCAATCAATCCACAATTATTACATTTGACTTTTGGAAATGGATTCCTAAGTCTTCTACTATTCATTTGTCTTTTAAAGGATTGCATAAATTTAGGATACAAAATAGGATTAGTGAAATCTTCAAGTTTAGGGGGGTATCCTATTATCCTCGAGAGCATTTATCTTCAATTTGTAAAATGAATTCATATCTTCCAAAATTCGATTTGTATAATTAACTCGATATATTTTGCTCTTTGATTCATCCTTATTATTCTTGATTTCAATTAAAGTTCTGTAAAGGTTATTTTTAACCTTTCATGATTTTTATTCAAGTCATCAAACTCATCAAGTAATTTTATGTGGTTGTCATCAATTAAAGTATGATCTTTCCTAAGAATTTCATATTGCTTTTGTAGTTCTTGAAATTCTAAGCTTAGACTAGTATGCATTTTCTTTAATTTCCTATATACATCATGCATGTGTTTAAAAACTTTAAAAAGTTCATTGTAAGTCAAGTCACATACCTCTTCTTGATCTGACTAATCAAGATTATCGATCATTAAGCATAGATTAGTGACTTCCTCTTCCTTTTCCATCTCTGACGAGTCTGAAGCTGAGTTCGCCCAGAAAGCTCTTTGGAATTTCCTCTTTCCCTTCTTCATAATTGGTTTCTCCTCTACCTTCTCCTTGCTATTAGTGGCTTTGAGTTTTGGGCAGTCTGTCTTAATATATCCAGGTTTCCTGCACTCATAGAAAATAACATCATTTGAAACTTTGACATTTCTATTAAATTTACCTCGCTTCCATTGCTAGCGTCTCTTCTGCTTCCTTTTCAAAAAGCTTCTGAATTGTCTAGTCATCAATGCAATATCGTCTTCATCCTCAGGTTGTGAGTCTTCACTTTTTGACTCCTCCACTTTCAGTGCTATGTTCTTCTCCCTTCGTGGTTCTCCTGCATCAATCTTTCTTTGGCTAACTCCTTGCTCGTAAGCAATTAGCGATCAAAGAAGATTGTCAATAGAGTAAATGTTTAGATGTTTAGACTATGTAATTGCAGTAATTTTAGCATCATAAATAGTAGGCAAATAATGAAGTATCTTATTAATCATTTCAGCATTCTTTAGTTCCCTACCCAATGCATGTAAAGAGGTGACTATTTGTGTGAATCTTATGTACATATAAGAAATGGATTCATTTTATTTCATGCGAAACAATTCATAGTCATGCAATAAGATATTGAGTCTAGATTGCTTAACCTCATTAGTCCCCTCATAAGTTATACAAAATTTATCCCATATGTCCTTTCCACTCTTGCAAGTAGAAACCCGCATATAGTATTCTGATTTAAGAGCACAAAAGAAATTATTCAAGCATTTGGCATTTAGTTATGCTAAGTCACATTCTTCTACTGTCTAGTCCATAAAAGGTGTTTCAACTCAAAATCCGTCAACTAGTCTAGTTGGTTTTTTATACCCTTCATGAACTAAGATCCACATACGGTAAT